GGGGGGGGGAATGCTGAGGGAGTGGGGGACGCCCCCTCCCTAGACCCTAGATATGAAAAGCAGAGAGTGAATGTAATGCCAGGCGGGGCAATGTGTACAGTTTGAATCTGGCCTCTGATAGGAAAAAGGGGGTTTAGTCTTCTTTTTTGTTTTTCTTTCTACGTTAGGGTCATCTAGGGACCACGAGACAATTTCAACACCTTTTAAGTTGCTCTTTCTTCTAGAAATATATCTTCTCACTATGTTTCATTTTCCTCTCATCGGACACTTTTCACCAGTTTTCCTCTCCTTCTTTCCTTGGTACCCTTCTATTTGTTGCAATTCATTTTTTAAAATCTCTATTGTTTCTTCTTTTCGTATAATGTTCCTTTCCTTATCTTTCTTAACTTCCTGACTCAGGTTAAGATACATTTCTTCACTACATTCAAAACTATAAAATGGAAGTTAGAAATTTTTGCCTTAAAAATATCTGATCTAAACATCATCAAATCTTTAAAAAAGTTGTGGTGTTTTGTGCAAGATTTTGAAAACAACGAGTAGTTTTTGTGTAATTTGTGCTTGAAATTAATGCAATTTATGAAAATAACATGTTCTCATGAACCTCTCCAGTTTTTTCTTCAATGTTTTAGGAGTAGGACAAAAATCGCTGAAAATAATGGTGCAAATCTTATTTTTGTTAGACTAGCTGAATTTTCGAAAACTGCAAATTTAGAAATAACGCAAGGAAGTATGTGCTGTTGTAAACACACTAGTTCCTGATGTGTTTGTTATTATTTTCGAACAGATCCGTTTCGCTTGAAATCGAAGTCGAGACCCGTCTGAAGTGAATGGAAAAACGAACTGTCTTCATATCTTTTATTTCCCGCCCGGATACTCCTTCCTCCGTTTCCTACCACTTTAAGGTTTTCTAGCCTCCATCCGTTCGTGTTTCCTAACCAACGCAATTCGGCTGTAGTTAATTGGCGAATTGTGATTGCTACTGCAGATAACGTAGATATGCAGATACTGCAGATATACTTCCAGACGAAAAGGATGGTGAGCCAATGTAGGATGTCAATAACAAAGACAAGTGGAATATCGTAGAAAAGACAAATAATATGCAACAAGATATAATTTGGTATGTTTTAGTCAACGGTTTCATTTTTGTTTTTAATTAATAAAAAAGAATTATCGTAAATGAAGAATAAACTAGAAATTTGATGTGTTGGCTTGGTGGCGTTTACTGTAGTTTCCTAATCATAAGTCGAACATTTAATTATTTGAATATGGTTCTATCAAGTTGCGTCTCGTGCTATGATGATACATATTACTCGTTCATTTAGGTTGCGAGAGTGTACATAATATTATTATAATAATAATATATAATATAATGTAATGTAATATAATATAATGTAATATAATATAATATAATATAATATAATATAATATAATATAATATAATGTAATATAATATAATATAATATAATGTAATATAATACAATGCAATATAATATGTGTCAATATTAAAACAACTGGCGTTTTATCCCCTAAATAGTTGTCAAAATCAAAAAAACAAAACATTGGTTGTGAAATGTGTAATTATGCATTCCCGCCATACATTTCATATTTAATTGTCTCAACTTTGAAAAATTTGCTTATTAATTGCATAATTGCTCGTGCAATCTCTCCGGCATTGTTACTGCATCGTCAGTTGCTCTGTCACTACTTTGCATGATGACGCAGTGTTATTAGAATGCAGAATTTTAAATATCAAGAAAAAGTGACTCTTCCTGTTGCCTTTGTTCCTTGATGGCGTCCGTGACCTGAACACTTATCCAAAGCGTAAATGACGTGCACATGCGTGCTGCCTGGAATTACCGTGTCTTGCCAAATGAGAACGTAAAGATTCATTGCGATTTCCTTGGAACGAATGGTGTCGACGAGTACATGCAGTAAATGGAATGCAAAGAGAATTCTAATTGCCTAACGTACATTCTGAAGACGTTTGCTGGATTGTAAAGTACTGTGTGTTACGCCCCGATTTAACCATTGTCGCACTTCAAGGTCACGAGCTTGAAGGGGGGCAAGACATTTTTATCGAATCGGCTGATCTAATACCAAATATATAAGTGGTAACGAAGCTCTGGATTGGATGAGTGTACCCATCTCCATCCAGCATTTGACCTAGAAATGCCACTATGTTTAAATCGGAGTGTAAACACCGTATTTGAGTATTTAAATTAATATGTTTTATTAAAAAAATTTAAATGAAATAAAAGCATTGGAAATAAAGTGTAATTATTATACAATCAGTTTTCAATTAGAAAGAAAAAGATGTCGCATAACGGAGCGCTAACTTGTGCTGCAAGAAAATTAAATTTACAGTAAATGAATACGCACGAAATTAAATGTTGAAAGGTAAGGAAATATCAATGGTTTAATTAGAAAAGGACAGAAATATTATTTCAAGATGATATTTTCGAACATTGAAAGGAAAGGGGAATAAGATACAACTACATATGCGCGCGTTGAAATTCGGCTAGTTATGAGCTAGAAAATCAGAAACTAGAGAATGACATTCTTAAATAATGCATGGCAATACCATGGCGTATGAAGTAAATGAGCTAAGTAAGTAAAGAAGAAGAAAAAATGCGGTATGGGAAAGGAAGAAAAAGTAAAACGCTAATGATGGGAATTACAGTGCTAAAACTAAAAAAAATGACAAAAAATGTAGAGAGAACAGAAATACGATGTTAAAGACTTGAAAGGGGAGAAGGAATAAGATAGAAAGAGGAG